CCTTGAGACGACTGTTGTTGTGATTTGGCGCTGCACAAATAAAATTGAATTGAACTGAATATTTGTGGAAGTCAGATATTAAGAATACTACACTAACATTGAGATGTAAAGCTGTCTCTTTAATCATAGCCAAGTAACCACATGTGAACAATATCCGTGCTACAACTGGAAATGGTGGATCGAGCCAAATATCGACAGTATTGATACCAACGCTGGTATTGGTATCTGATCGATACATTGTAGTATGTAGCCCACTGAATTGTGTTAAATATTAATGAAAATATGCCTCCTAACTTGAAAGACGTGAAAATGTTTGAACCTTTTTGTGTTGACTGTCACGTGTATTTTATTTATACCCTACAGCACATTTAAATAACAGAGGTTCACCCAAGTGTTTTAGACACCATTACATTTACATTGCAGGTCTTCAAAAACAAAGTTTCAAAACACATGAAAAACTAAAACTGAGACACTTTGTCTCAAAACTCATGATACCCTGCTCTCCACTACATCCTTTTTTCAGTAAAAAGTATAAGTATTTGTAAACTGGCACTGATACTTGGTATCAGATTAATACCAGATTCTGCAGTGTCGCAGAGCACTAGCTGCAAGCATAATAGAACAGAAAGGTATGACCGTTAGGGAGGGGTGGAAAAGGAACGTGTACCAACAATGACCTGACAGCACTGCTACAAAACAAGTGCAAATTGATCTCCTGCTTCCTTTCAGTTAATAAAGCCCATAAACATGACAAAACAAATATACTTGCCTTTTTCTGAATGATGTTAATATTGAATTCTACATGTGAATGTAGGAGTCAAATCTAATTTAATTATTAGCAAACAGTAGTACAAGTAACACTTGTTCTGATCACAGATCCTGGATGGACGTCTGCACTGGTTATCCAGTTCTCAAAGAAATGTACTGAATCACACAGGAATAAATTGGCACTGAATGAGTGTTAAATGTCTGTACAGTACTATCAAAGTGGCAAAAGGGTAAACCCCCACTTGCGTCAGAACATGTATCAAGTCTCATTGCAATTACATTTTTTTACTTGAAATAAAAAAGCTGTGAACATATTTTTAAGTCAGAAATCTGATTTTGTTATAGTCAATAGCAAATAAATCAAGGGTAAAATCTGAGAAATGTATCCAGAAATGACGGTCAAATTGAAACATTTAGAAATTTTAAAGATTGAAGTAGCTGAGATTAGAATTAATGGCCCAAGGTGGACAAACTTTTGTTATTTAAATGGAAAATGGACTGGTTCTTATATGGCGCTTCTCTGAGCACTCAAAGCGCGTTACACAACTTGTGCATTCACCCATGCACATTTTTTTTGTGCTTGTGTGAATGCTTTCTAACTAACAGTCACACACACTCATATGGATGCAATTTGGGGTTAGTATCTTGCCCAAGGATATTTGGCATGCAGACTAGGGAAACCAGGAATCGAACCATCAACCTTCCGATCAGTAGATGACCTGCTCTACCGCTTGAGCTACAGCCACCCCGAAACAGCCAGTGTTTGTAACCTGTGATTATTATTCAAGTTTAAGT